AGACGGACGCCTAGAAGCTGACTAATTGACAAACTGCCTCTCACTCCACTCCACAATCTCTCACTTCCTGTCACTATGGAACACACCATGCCTGTCTCTCATTCCCACAAATTCAAAGTCAAGCACACATACACTGCTATGCACACATTGACAATATTCTCCTCTAATCCACATGAGGTGTGTGCAGTCGATTCTCCTGCACTAATACTCCTCAAGTCTCACACAGTACTACACCCTGATAGTCTGATTCGCCAAACCAGCCTTCATACCTATTCAACTCTTGTGAATGTAGACAGCTTCTCATGCGTGTCATGTCTCTTCAATGTCTCTTTGTCATCCGGTCATCTCTTCTCTTCTCTTCTCTTTCTCATCTCGTCTCACCTCAGCTCACCTCTCCTCACACTCAGCGTCTTCTCTCAGTGTGTAGATGGTGTTGTTTGTGGAGCCAGTGGGAGTAGATTGTATGGTGTTCCTGGTGTGACATGAGTGATGTTGTATGTATGATATTATTCGGTTGAGATGTGGTAGTCGAAATTGAGAGTAGTCGATGAGTCGATGTGATAAGCAACAGGTGAGAGTCGATCTGGATTCGGTTGACTTGTTGATTGATGAAGCGACAGAAAGAAAGAATGAATGAATGAATGAATGAATGAGTGAATGACTGACTGACTGACTGACTGAATGAATGAATGAGTGACTGAATGAAGTTGGTTGATAGTTTTGGTGAATGTATTGGCTTGTGTGTGTGTGTGTGTGTGTGTTTGTGTTTGTGAGGTGTGCAATGAGTGTGGACTGGTAGTGTTGATGTGATTGATATAGTTGAGTGGAATGGCTTAGGACGGCTGGGCGTGGTGGCGTACGCCTGTAATCTAGCTACTTGGAGGCCAGGGTGCGGAATTTCGCGGGACCGGGAGTTCTGGCATATGGCTGCTCATGTTGATCGGGCGTCCACGCTAAGCACGGCGCCGATATGGATGACCTGTCGGAGGACGGGTTGTCCAGGTCGACTAAGGAGGGGCGCACCGGCCCAGGGGGGAAACCCAGCAGGCAAAAGTCCCCGCGTGGTGCGGTAGCGGGATAGCGCCTGTGAATGGTGGCCATGTGACAGCCCGGTCCGCGCGTGGAGACCGCCTCCTCTTTTCACCATACAACCAACCATCAACCAAAAACACAAACACTACACAATCACACCATTTTCACATCACATCGCTTCACATTCATCATCCCATCTTCTTATTACTCACACTTCAAATGATAACACACACCCTCATTCAATCACTCAATCAATCACTCTTTCATTCAACAACTCACCCACAAACCAAACCTCAACAATCTACATTCACTATGACTACATCATGCAAGCCCGTCGAATCATTCCACCAACGACCAACAATCATCATTACACATCAATCCATAAACCACCATCAAAATGCATTGTCTACTCACTCAATTCACAACAACCACATCACATTAACAAAACACAAATCATCATCATCATCATCATCATCATGATGAATATGGCGAATAAGATCATTTGTCGCCGATTCAACATCCTGAATCACAACTACAACTACAACTACAACCAAACCACACAGATAAATGTACTCACCAGGTAGCACAAAATCCTCACCTCATCACCACACACGTAAACACACGCACACACGCACACACACACAGACACACAGAGAGAGACGGACGCCTAGAAGCTGACTAATTGACAAACTGCCTCTCACTCCACTCCACAATCTCTCACTTCCTGTCACTATGGAACACACCATGCCTGTCTCTCATTCCCACAAATTCAAAGTCAAGCACACATACACTGCTATGCACACATTGACAATATTCTCCTCTAATCCACATGAGGTGTGTGCAGTCGATTCTCCTGCACTAATACTCCTCAAGTCTCACACAGTACTACACCCTGATAGTCTGATTCGCCAAACCAGCCTTCATACCTATTCAACTCTTGTGAATGTAGACAGCTTCTCATGCGTGTCATGTCTCTTCAATGTCTCTTTGTCATCCGGTCATCTCTTCTCTTCTCATCTCGTCTCACCTCAGCTCACCTCTCCTCACACTCAGCGTCTTCTCTCAGTGTGTAGATGGTGTTGTTTGTGGAGCCAGTGGGAGTAGATTGTATGGTGTTCCTGGTGTGACATGAGTGATGTTGTATGTGTGATATTATTCGGTTGAGATGTGGTAGTCGAAATTGAGAGTAGTCGATGAGTCGATGTGATAAGCAACAGGTGAGAGTCGATCTGGATTCGGTTGACTTGTTGATTGATGAAGCGAAAGAAAGAGAGAATGACTGACTGAATGAATGAATGAATGAGTGACTGAATGAAGTTGGTTGATAGTTTTGGTGAATGTATTGGCTGTGTGTGTGTGTTGTGTTTGTGTTTGTGAGGTGTGCAATGAGTGTGGACTGGTAGTGTTGATGTGATTGATATAGTTGAGTGGAATGGCTTAGGACGGCTGGGCGTGGTGGCGTACGCCTGTAATCTAGCTACTTGGAGGCCAGGGTGCGGAATTTCGCGGGACCGGGAGTTCTGGCATATGGCTGCTCATGTTGATCGGGCGTCCACGCTAAGCACGGCGCCGATATGGATGACCTGTCGGAGGACGGGTTGTCCAGGTCGACTAAGGAGGGGCGCACCGGCCCAGGGGGGAAACCCAGCAGGCAAAAGTCCCCGCGTGGTGCGGTAGCGGGATAGCGCCTGTGAATGGTGGCCATGTGACAGCCCGGTCCGCGCGTGGAGACCGCCTCCTCTTTTCACCATACAACCAACCATCAACCAAAAACACAAACACTACACAATCACACCATTTTCACATCACATCGCTTCACATTCATCATCCCATCTTCTTATTACTCACACTTCAAATGATAACACACACCCTCATTCAATCACTCAATCAATCACTCTTTCATTCAACAACTCACCCACAAACCAAACCTCAACAATCTACATTCACTATGACTACATCATGCAAGCCCATCTACGAATTATTTCCACAGCTGTCATGGAAGCTTTTTTGCTTGATTTTTTGCAATCCCTCTCCTTTTTTCCGTTTAATTCTTCTTTTTCATTTTTTTTGAACATGATTATCTTTTGTATATACCTTTTCATTTTTTTTAATTTTTAATTTTGTATGAATTGGTTTCTGGATTTACAATTGCGGTTTATTTTTTCCTCTCTTATCGATGTCTTTTTATGTTTTTCACTTTTTACTGCATTCAGTTCTGGAATTTCCTTTATCTATTATTCATTGTTTTTTGGGGCTTTTTTTGTTGGATTATATTTAATCATCATTACTTATTTGAATTTTTGCAACTCTTTGAATCGCCTTCATGGTTTTTGGAATATACCTTGTAATGGGGTTTCGATCATAATCTAATTTGAATTCTGCTTTAGCTCTACTGCGTTTTTGTGGCTGAAGCCTTGATATAATTTATTGAGAGCTATTTTATAATTCAATATTCCAAGTAATTCATAACGGACTGTTTAATGAATGCTAGAACGTTGAGGTATGTCTAATAAAGGAATGCGCAATGTCACCGATAATGTTACTGACTGTGGTGGACTGGATTGTGTGAGCTCTTGTTGGGTATCAGTAGACTGGAATAGGTTGGACCGATAAGCAGACTCAAGAGGATTTGCGTTTCGTCGATGAATTGTGTGTAATGTCACAGAAACTCGAATATCTACAAGCGAAAACCAACCAGTTGGCAGAAAAGGCAGCAAAGGCAGGACTTTAAGTGGAAATGGAGAAGACAGAGATGGTGAAGAACCCTAAATCATATCATCAAGTTGCAATCACTATCAGCTATCTAGACGGCATCCTTTTGACTACAGACAGCAAGGATGAAGATGTCGAGGCCATTCAGGATCAGATAGGCAAAGGGAGACAGGTGTTCATTACTATGAAACCAGTTTGGGCTTCCAGAACACTTATAACACGGAAAAGTATCTGGAATTTTAACACTAAAATCAGTTCAGTGCTTCTGTGTGATACAGAGAGTCAGCGCATATATTACTGAAATCTTTCCTAACAGGCTGAATACTCTCAACATCAGCTGCCTTCGCTCCACACTGAAGGTATAATAGCCGGCCGGAGGAGTGAAGCAACAAGGAACTCTTGCAATAAGCAAACTAACCAAGATCCTACCACTGAAATAATTTATAGGCGGGAATGGAGACGGATTGGACATAAGTTGAGGAGGCAGTCGAGTGATGTCTCACGCCAGTCATTCAGGTGGAACCGAACGGGAAACACCGAGTACAACATCTTAGGGGGATTCGGGAAAGATTGTGTGTGTGTGTGGGGGGGGGGATGAAAGTTCATAGGCAATCATGGAGCCAACTATTCCCAGACTACACATAACAGAGTGTCCTGCTGAAGCCCCATGTTTCACTCGGAAACCGAAGGAAATAATAATGCCCCGGACATACATACTTCAGACATAGGTATCATTTTCTTCTAACAGGTTTATAAATTTAGTTTACAACTTCGACACCTTTACAATATCTCCTTCAAATTCATTATTTACACCTCCGGAATAAAAAATAATTTTTAGTGTTCAAACTTCAGGTTAAAAAACAGACACCAGTGTTAACTGAAGGACAAGGAAATAGTAAATTGTTAACTGTCTACTCAGGAAATATACTAAAACACAACTAAAGTGGTAGGAAATATTTCATTTCATTAAATTAAAGGAACAATAATCATTCTGGTTATATTAGTTCAGTAACGAAAGGGGTGTAATGTGATGAACAGTTTACTAAATTAATAATAATAATAATAATAATCCCTATAGTAGTAGGAATAATAATGAAGGAGAGTGGATGAAATTTAAGGCTTAAATAAAGATAACCAATTATGCGCTTATTTAAACAAATTAATTAGCCAATAGGAGAATAATACAAGTTAATTCACTTTAATAGACAGTATGAAAATTACCTCAATCCAAAGAAATTATATCACGGATAGAATGGAATGGAATAGAAAAGTTGAAAACCACCTCTAACCTCTAAATAGGTAGAAAAGTAGCATTTTAAGGAGATAAAACACACACGAGGCAAACATATAATCTAACAAATAAACAATATCCTTCTATTTTGCATATTTATTATTTTTGAATTTATCAAGTCAGAGGTAGTAAATTCCCTGTTGTAATAATAATTTATTAAACAGTAGTTGTTCATACACGTTTGAAACAATGTCTGGATTTACAGTTGCAGATTTAATTAAACCAAACCTAGAATCAATGTTGATGAATTCCTCTCAAGTTATTCAGTCGAATAAAGATCTGAGAACAACAAATATTGCTGAAGATGATGACAACGAAGGCATAAATGCAGAGAAGGAGAAAAATACTAAAAATGAGATTCACACCACATCAAATTCTCTCCAAACTCCCAAAGACCAACATCAGATAGGTTCAGAAGAAAATGATGTCTTGAAGAAAAGTACTAGTGAGATTAAATGTGTAGCTACATCATGTAGTTCGACTATTGGCAGTACAGATTTGGAGACATCAACTGTTCCCAATTTTTTATCACCCACTTCAAACATAAATACTGTAAGTAATCAAAAGGCTTCATTACTTTCTTCTCCAATTCCTTTCAATTATGCTGATGAGATTAGACTTCGACCATTGATTCAGGCTTATTCAGAGCCTTCTTTACTCGGTCCATCTTTCCAGAATGCCTCTTCTTCTTCGTCATCTGATGTTACTTTTATTCCAACTGTTATCTCAGCATCATCGCCATTTTCTTCGTCTCCACCGTCTTGTTTACTTTCAAATAACTGTACACCAGTGGAATCTCAATATAGTATTACTAACGCTAATACAGAAGAACACTTACAAATTTTATTAAAGTTACATAATTTATTCGGTATAAATATTACGGAGAAATCAAATTTAAATGAAATGAACTCAATACATTTCAATCATATCAACAATAATAATTTCAATAAACACCACTTATCTCCTAATAATAATAATAATAATAATAATACATCAAATACTAAAACAAGCTTACTTCATCTGAATGATCTGAATTCAATTACAAATATAAATCCTGAAATAATTTCACCTTTTAACTCACCCTATATGATGTCTGTTATGATGAATAGTATGCTGAACAAAGAACAATCTGAACAGTTTTGTCTACCACCTTCAGTACCTCTTCAGCAGGAGCAGGAGCAGCAGCAGCAACAACAACCACAACAACAAGCATTTCCTCATCGGCTCAGTAATCATCACCAAGAGCCACGACAAAATTTTCCATGTTCACAATCAGCAGTTGATGTTAATTCACAAATGAATTTGGCAACTCAAAGCCAATTGATAGCAAATTTTTTGAAGTCACGTCTATTATGGGATAATAATCATAATAATAGTGTTAATACTATCAATAATAATAATAATAATAATGGTGGGAAAACTATTTTTCAAGATATCAGTGAATTGGTCAAACTTGACAATACTAACTTACCACTAAATTGTTATGGTGAGTGAACAGCTATTGATTTAATGTGTATGATTTAATGTATAAACAGTTTTTGTTTCTTTCACAATGAACTTTGTGAATTTATTTCGTCCTGTATTTTGCTGGCTTCGCTATTTCCCTTTCAAATTTCTGAAAGGAACTGAGTTTTCCAAAGGTTGTGTGGGTAATTCCTATTAATCAGTGTCAACGAGTCGCAGAATACTGAGCTGGCAACATTCACGGTATATACTGTCAGTTCACTTGCTCCCATGGAGGTAAGTACATAGACCGTGCCGGCAGGATGTCATAGATATGTGCATTACAACACATCCTAATACGGTTATAAAAAGGGGAAATTAAAAGAATTAATAGCTCAATTCTTGCGCAGCTCTTTCTTACAAATTGTTTTGCATCAATTGAGAAGTCTTCTAAAGTGATATATGAGGAAGGGCCAAGTTGTTCGAAAGATTTCAGGTTATATCTCTTGTCCATAGCTGAAGCTCTTGGTATAGATAAGGAAAATCCTGAACTGTGTATACAGAAGCGGTTTGTGCAAACCTTTTTCTAACATGGCCTTAAATATTTTTTACTTGTACTACAATTTCGTATGCAATCCACTTTTGTTCGTTTGTTTTTTCTTCTTTCCCTTCAAACTCCTAACTTTAAAACCACTGCGTGTCGGTGGGACAGTGGTTAGAACTCTCGCCGACCATGCACATAGTCCGAGGTTCGATCCCCGCCGACGCACACCTGTTATCTATGGTCGGTCTGCAAAATTAGGGCTACCGATAATTCCATACTTGTACCAAAAATACGATGTGGAATTAAGCTGTAATCAAAAATTAAAAAAAAAATAAATAAATGTACTTTATATATATATTCTGAACCCCTTACTCTTGTAAATAGCATTCTTGTTACAGAACGCTTGCCTTTTTAATGATAACCATTTCTGAGTAATATCCATCATTTGGTGTTTTTGGCTGAGTAAGAATGCTGAACCAAGTTTCTCAGTTTATCCACTTTTTCTTCCCAAAGGGTAGTTTACACATGTTTTGTTATCAACTAATATAGGCGTTTCCATGATCTTTTCGAACAGCTTGAAGAGAAGTTACAAGGAGAATATATCACTTTAAAATATTTTACTTGGCCAGCTTTTGCCAAACACAGGAAAACACAACGTGGTTTAATTCAGTTTACCCATCAGATTTCACACTTGATTGAAAATTTTTGATAAGATCACAAAGTTATTATCTGTGTTGGTCATTAATATACAATGATAAGATTAACCACTGACCCTCACTGATGATCATATTGGATCCTGCAAGTTAATTACCAAGCCAAGAGGTAATTTTCAACATGGTGCACTATGATTATTCCTAAATTCTAGAAAGTGATTACCAATATTGACCAATATGCCGTGTCGGCCGATAATGCCTATCAAGGCTAGCTCAGATATAGTTTCACTTAAAATTCCACTTTAATTTTTTCTTCAACTGAAATATTTATCGGTGGATGGTGACTAGTAGGGGAATCCAGGATGCACATTTCATCCCATTTGGGACTTGTCATCTGGATGTACCTTCATTCCGCAGCGAGTGATGATGTTCCCATCGAGGCTAGAACCCATGACATCGTCGAAGCGTCTGCACAACAAGCCAACATGTCAATCTGAGACCGAGCACTTCGGTCCAATCAATCGATGGGAAAATCTAAAATTCAATTAAATAAAATATTTATCGTTTAAAGAAACCATCCAGTGGAAAGTGATCAGTACAGTGGTATTTAGTCTTAATTTCTATCTAAACCCTATTAATTAGATTTGTAATTCATGTGTTATGGTAGAAAATTGATTATTTTTATATATTTGGTTTGATGTTAGGCGCTTCAAAGTAGTCGACAGTGAGATTTTGACTGGGTTGTGTTTTGGTTTCGGGATGTATTAACAACATTTGAGAAAAAAAAAGCGTCTCACCAGGAGCTGCAGCTTTTACTACACGTTGCAGTGGGTTAAATGAAATATGAAATGATAAAGGTTATTTTAATTTGAGGACCCAAGTTATGGTAACCAACAAACACTTGATATTTCAAGGCATTATACTGGAAACTGACTTTTTTATCCTCAGTTCATCTAATTGAGTCTATAGGTGGCCATATATCAGTGATAATGTCGGCGACTATTGTATTAGGGGATTCTGCTTACGGCCATTACGTGGGTATCTGTTATCACAAAGTCACGAACACACCTTGATAACGAGTGCTAGTCATAAGGAAACCTGTTTCCAGATTATCCTCTTGATTTTATCCAAACATTTAGCATTTACTATACAAGGATACTGTGCCTTTTCAAGCCCAGCTACTGTAATAAAAATAATTAAGCTTTGGTGTCATAGTATAATATTCACATTAAAATGTCTCAGAATTTGATCATAAAATACTTTGGGATTTATAATCCAAGTTTCTAAGGTATTTTGTTGAATAAATTTTGTTCAAAAATTTATTTTCTAGTGATAACTAGCGAATTGATTAATTAATTGATCAACTAAATGGTTATATGGAAGTTAAGTGAATTCACCCTCAAAGGTCGCACTACCTTGGAAACTATTCATTCTAAATCCCTTTTTCTTAACATCCTTTTGACTTCATTACTAATTCATGAGTATTGATAGCTGGATTTAGTATTTTTTTTAAAGGTAGACCGGATATGGGAATATAACTATTAGGTTTGAAAATATTCGTCAAAAACTATTATAAGATAAAAGCTCTTGGTTAAATTAATTACAATTATATTTCAGTCGGTTAATCTTGGGTACTATGGTAGAAAGTAAAATCATATATATAACATGTTTATTTTGTAAGGCACACAGTGATACTCTGCTGTAGAGTGGATAATATTTTGGGCACAAAATGCACTACCCATAATCATATAAAGATAATCACATAACTACCAGACTTTGTTTCCCTTAGACCATTCATTCCCTATCCTTCGATTTTACTGATAAAAATGTTTAGGTATCTTCCATATTGACCATTAGTACTGTAGCCCTGTGTGACTTGAGAACATATAGCTGTTTTACAGTATGCATACAGATAGTTGCATCTTCTCCCGGGATTAGATGTCTTGCTGGAGTCTGTCTCAAATTACAAATTCAGCTAAACTGCTATACTCTGATGACTTCACTTGACTGATTTGACCTGTGTACCTGACCACATAGTCGTTTTACGGTATTTAATAAAAAATTAGACTGTTTTATTCCATGGTTAACAGAATTCTTATTGTTACGAAACTTGTCATACAGTGGATTTCGTGGTTGCAATCCAGATTTAATCTGAGTTTTGTGGAGAACATAATAATAATAATAATTTCGCTTTTATTCCAGAAACAGTACTAGTGGTACATTGTGGAACTTTCAGCACATATCTACAATATTGCATCTAATTTCATCGTACATTTAAAAGGAGTATTATAAAAAATAAATATAAAAACAACAACAACATAAAAACAAAAAGCAACACAAAAATAACAATAAAAATGCCAAAAAATACCAAGTAGAAAGGAAAATAAACAACAATAATAAATAATATTTCAGTATTTGGTAGTGGAAGCTATGATATGTGTATGCGTGGTGGACAGTAACAGCTATAATCATACAAGAAGTTATGAAATGTTTTTAAGAATGTTCATAGCCAAGATGATCACTTAATTTGATTGAACTACACTAGACAATCATAAAATAAACATTTCAGGGTTTTTTTTCATTGTCAGCACTAATGCAGTGTTTGTTGTGGTAGTGTGAGTAATCATGCATAATACAAACATTTTAGGATGGTGATAACGGCGTTCACAAACAAGATTGTCAGTTTAATGTTGCCGAACAAAACAAACAATCACAAAACTAAAATTACATGATCGTTATTGACAGGATAATTTTGTAATACTCATAGTGCTAATATAGTCGGGACTAGTAGATACACAAAAGGAGGAATAAAATAAAGAATAAAAAAGTAAGCCAATGATAATAATTTTAGGTAGCTAAGTATGTTTAAGAAGGTTGTTCACTATAGAGTACAAATAAGAGAGTATAAGGGGGAAATAACAAGGGCCAAAATTATGTTATTAACAACAAAGCAAGTCATACGTTTCGCGCTTAACATTGTCTCTGTCACTTAGATCACGGGCCAAATATGGTATCGTTGAGTTCCTATACTTGGTTGTATGAGCATATATTATTTTGTACTGATTTCTGGTTCTACCTGATGAGATACAAGGAGAGAGTTGGGAATAGAGAGGTGTTGGGGGTCAGAGAGTATGGTTTTAGAACATTTTTCACATGTATTCAGATGCCTTTCTACTAATGTTGTGACGAGCTGACTGAGTTTTACACCACTAGTCCTACTAACTACCTTCAACATCCTTCTCAGGATGGTATAGTCCTTTTTCAGTAACCCAGGAAAGACTAATGGGGAGCAGTAAAGTAGAATAGGTAGGATACGAGAGTTGATAAGTCGTGAAAGCAGAGGTTGAGGGACTCCAGTTAGTCTGAGTTTTTTAATGTAGTAGGTTAGACGAAACACTTTCTTAGAAATCGTTAGGATATGAGATGACCATGTAAGGTCGGAAGATAAAACTAGACCGAGGTATTTTGCATTAGACTTAGTTTCAGTTTTAGTCCCCTCAATGCTACAGGCTTCATGAGTACTTACTAGTGTTTGTAGATCTCGTTTATGCCTAAAGGAGAAGTCAATAGTCTAGCATTTTGAGGGATTCAGCATGAGGCCATTTAGTTTAGACCACTAAGTGACCACCATTACTATGGATATTTAATTGAATTTTTTGATTTTCCCATCTATTGATTTTTTATTTTTATTTTTTTGATTACAGCTTAACTCCACACCGTATTTTTGGTACAAGTATGGAATTTTCAGCGTGGATATCGGTAGCCCAAAATTCGCAGGCCGACCATAGATATCAGGTGTGCGTCGGTGTGGGCTCAAACCCCAGACCATGTGCATGGTCGGCGAGA